GATCCACACTGGGAGGGGGAGTCCCCAACCCTCCTGTCCATCCTGGGGGGGCTGATGGGGGGGTTCCCCCCCAGCCAAGAGCCGGTGCTGCGGGGGCCGTGGGGCAGAGGGGGGTGGGAAAGGAGGGTCTGGGGTGGCCCCCTGAGCTCCCAACCTGCTTGTGGGGGGCTGGAGGATGATGGGGGTGGGGACGGGGCACCCCCTGACCCGTGTGCTGCACACACAGGGGTGTTCCAGAAGTTGAGAAAGGCCGAGTGTCACTTCATCAACGGCACCGAGCGGGTGAGGCTCCTGGGGAGGTTCATCTACAACCGACAGCAGTTCGTGCACTTCGACAGCGATGTGGGGGTCTTTGTGGGGGACACCCCGTATAGGGAGTACCAGGTCAGGCACTGGAACAGCCAGCAGGAATATCTGGAGGACAGACGGGCTTTGGTAGACACGTACTGCCGGCACAACTACCGGATTGTCACCCCGTTCAGCGTGGAGAGGAGAGGTGAGGGCGGGGCAGAGCGGATCCCCTTGGGAATTCCCCTGACCCGGTAACGACCCTGGAGCCCCTCAAACCCTCCCTGGGAATCACTCCAGATCCCTCAGCCCTCCCTGTGTCCATCCCCGTCGTCTTCTCCCCCGTCCCAGTGGCCCCCAGTCCATCCCAGCCTCTCCCATTGCCCCTTATTCCATTTCGATACATTCTATTTTTTTCCAGTGCCCCCCAGTCCATCCCAGTCTCTCCCAGTGCCTCCGCCCCGCTGGGACCACCGCTCTCTCCCCTTCAGCTAATCAGATTGCCTCCCTTTGATGACTCATCAGATGCCGGGCAGACCAGCAGCGCAGATTTCCCTCTTCAAGGCTCAGCCTCCCAATCCCCCTTGGGTCCTTAGCAGTTCCTCCCAGTCCTTTGCAGTCCCTCCAGTGATTCCCAGACTCCCCAAGTAATTCCAGGACCCTCTCACTCCACTCCCAGTCCTTCTCAGCTCACTCCCACATCTCCCAACTCTCTCTCCCAGTCCCCCCCAGCTCAGCCCAGTGTCTCCCCCGTCTCTCCCAGTGCCTCCCAGCGTGTCCATCTCGCTGGTGCCGTCGAGCTCCCAGCCTGGCCCCAGCCCCTGCTCTGCTCCGTGATGGATTTCTACCCTGCGCCGGTGCAGGTGAGGTGGTTCCAGGATGGGCAGGAGCTGCCGGAGCACGTGGTGGCCACCGACGTGGTCCCCAACGGGGACTGGACCTACCAGGTGCTGGTGATGCTGGAAATCCCCCCCCGCGCGGGGTCACCTCCACCTGCCAGGTGGAGCACGTCAGCCTGGAGCACCCCCTCAGCCGGCACTGGGGTACGGCCCGGCCCCCCCAGCATGGGGGGACACTGGCAGGGGGGCCAGGGGGCTGGGGGAGCACTGGGGACACAGGGAGGGAGATTGGTGGTCATGGAGAGGCTGAGGAGGAGGTTGGGGGGGCCCTGGGAGGGCTGAGAGGGGCTCTTGGGAGTCGTGGGGGTGACTGGAAAGGAATTTGGGGGACCCTGGGAGGGATAGGAGGGAGGCTGGTGGGGGGCTTAGGTTGACTGGGAGGAGGTTGGGGAAATCCTGGGAGGGCTGGGAAGGGACTGGGAGGGGTTCAGCGGGTCACGGGGATGATGGGAGGGGGCTTGGAGGGTCCTAAAGGGGTTGGGAGGGGCTTTGTGGGATCCCCGAGAGGTTGGGAAGGGACTGGCAGGAGGTTTCAGAGGGTGTTGGGTGGGCTGGGGGAGACCAGGACGGGGTTTTCGGGGGGTGCCAGGTGGTCTCTGGGAGGTTTTGGGGGTCCTGAACCCCCCCCGGCTCCCCCCAGAGATGCCACAGGACACCGTCCACAGCAAGATCCTGGTGCGGGTCGGGGGCTTCGTGTTGGGTTTCGTCTTCCTGGCGCTGGGGCTCGGCTTCTACCTGCGGGAGAAGGTAAAGGGGGGTCCCCGGGGGTCGTGTCCCCCCTTCCCCAGAGTGTGTGTGCTCCCCCTGCCCCCCCAGCCCGCTGTCACCCCTTTTTCTCTCCCCACAGAGCTCCTGACCCAGTGGTGGCCGCAGCCCCTCCCCGTGGCCTCGGGCCCAGCCGGGACCCCCCAGTCCATCCCCGCCCGGAGTTTGGGGGGGTCGTGTGTCCCCCCCGGCCCTGCTTTTGTTCCCACACCAGCTGCCTGCTGCTCCCAGTTCTCCCAGTAAAGCTTCCCAGTTCTGTGCAGTCCTGCTTAGTGGGGGATATTAGGGGGGATGGGGGGGGGGGATCCGAAGATGCTGGGAAAGGGGAGGTTTAGGCAACGTCAGCCCCCCAAAATCCCACGTATCCAGGGCACCCCAAAACCAAACTCCAGCAATCCTGGTCCCCCCAAAACCCACCTTGGACCCCCAGAGCCGCGAGCAGAGTAAGCCCCAGCAGCAGCAGCCAATGGGAGAGAGCACATCTGCTGTGTCATCAGTTGCTGGGCAGACCTGGCCCAAACTGAGCCCTCACTGAGCTCAGTCAATCAGAGAACGCCCTCCACTCGATTCTGGGGACCCGTCGGAGCTCCGGGACAGCCGGATCGCAGAGCTGCGGGACCCCTGGACGCCCATTTGTTTATTCCCCTGAGTTCCCACCTGTCCCGCACCCCACGGACCCCCCAGAGCACCCCACCCCCGGGGCTGCAGCGCCCCCAACAGCCTCAGTCAATCAGAAAGCGCCGACGCGGACTGTGGCCAATCAGAGCGCGTCTCGCTGATGACTCCTCAGTTGTCGGGAAGACGATCCACTAAACGAGTCCCCAGCTTT